TTAAAGTCAAGGGTTTTTCACCCCTTGGAAGTGAGCGGCCTCAGACTCTTTTTCTCCTCTGAAGCAATACCGGTTGTCCTTGTCTGCGCCAAGGTTGTACCGAGGGCCTAGCTCGCCACCGGCCTCCACTCATTCACACATCCCTGACTCCATCGAGGTAATTTGTCCCTGCCTCCATCGAGGTCCTCATGAGCTTTCATTGTCCCAGTATGCTCGTTTTAGGCTTGGAATCAGGCCTAGTGATATCGGCTCTTACATGCGCATTCTATCAATTAAGAAAGCAAGTTTTCAAATTTGAATGTTTTGAAAATTGAAATAATATATTCATGAATGTTTACAAACGATGTGTTCACAAGAGATGCGCCCACACACTTAGAGAAAACAATTCTAAACTCAAAATACACATTAAGAAATAATCCATGATCCATGATGATAGTGTCAAAGAAGATAAAAGGCAAAAGTGACACTATTCACATATGGATTTCTCTTTTTTATTTCCTCCATGTGTATTATGAAATTTGATTTGAAATGATTTTTATGAGTTGTATGCACATGTCTGGTGAACACTCATGATTTTTATAGAAAAAATAACGAAAATACTAACGCCCATACGTGTGGGCGTTTACATCTCGCCTACACGCATGGATCAACATCCGTTTATGTTTGCATAAATCTCGGCATGTTTCGTTAGATTTTTTATGCCACATAGAATTGGGTTGGTCTGTGTGCATTCATTCGGTCGCCGCCACGTCCGTTTCACCACGCAGGATGGGCTGGTGTGGGTGTTTAGCAGTTCGCCCACACGTAAATTTTCACGCACGCAGAGGGGTTGGTATGTGGGTGTTTATCAGTTCGTCCACACGTTCGTCTTCTCTCCCGCACCCAAAGCTGTTAGTTGCCATGTGTTTTGTACGGTACATGGCAACTGCCCTAGCGTGCTTGTAAGCATATGACAACTCTCTCCTTACTCGAGTTGACATGTGTTTTGCAGGGTACATAGCAACTGCCCTAGCGTGCTTGTAAGCAGATGTCAACTCTCTCTTTACCCGAACATATTCTTTTGCCATGCCTTTTTTTAGTGTTATATGGCAACTACCGTGTTAGTAGGTGTCAACTCCTAAATTTTTTAAATCATGGCAACTGTAATAGACCAGACCATACATGGAAATAGCTGCAGTTGTCCAAAAATGGCATCTGGCACTTGCCTTGAGATGGCAACTGCAGTTGAGCAACTATGACAACTGTAGTTGTCGGACATGGCAACTATAGTTCAGCAACATGACAACTGCAGCTAAACGAACATGAAAGAGGGTTCGGACCATGGCAACTGAGGGGACGCGTGGTGACTGTCACGTGGAGCGTGTGGAACCATGAGTACGGGCATGTGAGCGTTATTTATTTTACCCACACGTAGACGTGTGGGAGGGACCGCGAGGGAAAAGACCGGGCGTGTGAACATTACTTGTTTTGCCAACACGCAGATGTGTGAACTGGTTCTTTAAATACCACACAAAACGTGTGGCCAAACACCTTAACGCCCACACATGTGAGCGTTATCAGGACCCAAAATTAATACATCTAAATTTGATATCATTTTTAAAAAAAGATTGATAGTATAAAAAAAAAGTGTGTGGTCTCAGTTCTCAGAGTGAACTATGCGGCTGGCTGGTAGTACTACAGTGAACAAAAGGTTTTGTCTCCGTTCTAAAAGAAGTTGGCATGAAAAACTCCCTAAACGAAAGTTGGTCTGAATAAAGGACGCGATGCAGAGGATAGACTGAATAGACGGATTTGGACACGCAGGATTAGCAGCATGTGAAGTTTATCGGTACGAATAAATCCGCTGCTCCGCTGCCGTCTTTCGGCATCCCGTGCTGTGAAGTTTTGTCGATTCTTTGGCTCTGTTTGGATCCTAAGTTAAAGTTAGTTTTAGTTAGTTGGGGCTTAAATAACCTAAAAATATCCAAACATGATGAGGTAGTTTGTGTTAGTTGAATCTAACCCACCTTAAAAAACTAGCCCGCATTAGAGGAACTTATTTGGGTTAGTTCTTCTAGGTCCACTAGAAAAAATAGTAAAAATGTTATCCCTCCCATTCAAACATGGTCCAAAGTAGTCAAATGATTGAGAAAGAATATTTATTGTCAATTTAATCCTACCATCCAAACAACTCTTTGGTTAGAGTTAGTCTAGGGTTAGTTCAAGGTTAGAATCTAACTCTAACCTCTAACTGAGTTAGAGTATCCAAAAAGGGCCTTCGTTATATACTGGCATCTCTAACAGTGTTTCATAACTCGTGAATCAATTTGTGGTTGGATATTTAGAGAAACAGTGGTATCCCAGTCCACTATGGTTTAAATCTTGGTACTCGTATTATTTCTAAATTTATTTCAGTATTTTTAGCGATGTGCTTTTAGTGGAAGGAGACGTTCCCGTTGATGATGAGACGTCTATGGTGACTTCGTAACTCTCAAGATGATATGCCGACTCCGTCTCTCAAAAGTGTCCATAAAAATAGAATGTGCGTGTTTATAAAGATGAGTATATACGTATATATATAAACGCTTGCGTGTATACCGTGTTTCAAAAAAAATGTTCCTTAAATCGGCCCTTAGGAAAAATATAATGTGCTACCGTCCATCTCATGATACAGTGCTCCAAGACCTCGTGGTTCGTTGGATCTACATGCAAGGGACATGATCATCTTACTACCCCATGAAACGTTGGATCTGCATGCAAGCAATAGGATCATCTATCTTTTTACACACACTCCTAGTGTGTCTTGCGTGCCATCACACACGAGTCGCAAGACTGGCTCAAACTTGAGAATTTTTCTGAAATCTTGATTCTTTTAAGTAAGGAAAATAATCAAAAAGAAAAAGAAAAATGAGATGACAAAAACATGGGTGTCCCTTCTCCCATAGGGGCCGGCCCAAGAGCGCTTGCGGGGGAACGGGGGGTGTTAACGGTGTCCTGGATACTTGGCATATACATCAAAGCATATTCAAATATTCGGCATGTTTATCTCTAAATGCAATCGATCATGTGTAATGCTAGGTATCACTCGGTGCCTATATAAGCCGAGGGTTTTGGTCTGTAGAGATAAATCATCCTGTACTTTGTACCCCATCCCCCACCCCCATCCCCCATCCACAATACGAATGGAAATACAACACTGAAAGACAAAAATCCATTTCTGCGTCCGAGCTCATCTGCACCCGCGCCGATGAAAAAAAATAAAAGCAAATACTAGAAAAATTTGAAAAATTCCAAATAAAATTTGTGTGGTAGAAAATTTGATGCGCGAGGCCCGCTCTAAATTTCAAGATCTTTGGACATATGAGCAGCTCTCAGCAAAAAAGGCAAATTGGGGGTATGTAAAAATGTTTACTGTTCATGTACTGTTTTGGCCCGATTTGTCTTTTTTGCTGAGAACTGCTCATATGTCCAAATGACTTGAAATTTGGAGCGGGCCTCACGCATCAAATTGTCTACTACACAAATTTTATTTGAAATTTTTTGAATTTGTTTTGAATTTTTTATGATTTTTTCTAACCGGATGCAGATGAGCCTGGGCACCAAAACCCCCTACTCACTGAAAGATAAATAACATAAATGAAATAACCAACCATAATAACTTGCTAGAGAAAAAAAGACATCCACCAGACGAAGAACAACCTGACAAAAACATGCATTAGCCTCTAGCTTGTACCACGATGACTAATAAGGGTTACCCCTTGTAAAGGTTACTCCCACCTGAAAGTTTTCCCTTTTGTTGTAGATTCGTTTATTCAAAACGGGTTATCTCTTGGACCGTGCGTCAAGATCCTAAACCATTTTCACTGTTGGATTTCTCGCATCAAGATCTTTGAATCTAGATCCCACGTTAATAGATTCCGACTAACTTTTTTCACAAAAAAGAAAAGAAAAAACCCAAAGCCGGAAGCACTACCCCTCCCCCCTCCCCAATTTTTCCCTTCCCGAGAGGCACAGTCGTGCTTCTCGCGAAAACAAATTTGTATCTCCACGAGAAGCAAACAAATCTGTGCTTCTCGTGAAAGCAAAAAAGCACATTTTTTCTCAAGAGGCATAGATGTGCTTCTCGCGGGAGTAAATCTGTGTCTCCATCAAAAGCAAATATGTCATTATTGTGCAAGAAAAAACACATTTTTTTTTACTATTTTTGAGAGGCACAGTCGTGGTTCTCACGGAAGCAAATTTATGTTTCTCGTGTAAACAAAAAATACATGTCTTCTCCTTTTCTGAGAGGCACAACTATGTTTCTCGCGCAAGCAAATATGTGCTTCCATGATAAGCAAATATTTACTTCTCGTGCAAAAAAATCACACAAATCTGTGCTTCCAAAGCCACTATATATCCTTTTTCTGTCCGGATGGTGGAAAGCCATTGCTGATTTTTTATTTTTTTTGCTCTTTGGCGGAAGGTTGCTAGCATTTGGCGGAAGCACTATTGTTTCACTTTTTTTTTCCTCAAGTGCTGTAGTCTATTTTTCTTTTTCAAGTGCTCACAGTGGCGGAAAGCACTAAATTTTGAAGTCACAATGGCGAAAGGCCATTAGCCAATAGTTGCGGACCGATTCCGGGCAATATCATGTCTGTTCTTTTCAAATACCGTGTCCGTTTGTGGGTCGGCGTTGGAGGAGCCCATCAAAATGACCTGAATGATTCGGCCCGAGGAGAAAAGGCCTCGCATGTAAAACGTCCCAACGGAGGCCCACGAGCAAGTCAAACGGTCAAGTCTGAACGCCGCCGCACCTGACCGTGCGTGTCCCCAACGCGTACGCGTAAAAAGCCGGCCCAGGACTGGAACCAGAACGGGTATTCCACCCGTCACCCTAGACAGGCTTCGTTTCCTCCGGCGACGGCGGAACGAGCGAGAGAGTCCTCGGCGCGGCCGACAACCGGCTGCGGGATCGCGCGATTCAGCCGGCGCCAAGGGCCGCAGAACTAGCGGCACCGCACCGCACCGCGCCGCACGCCATGGCAGGTTCGTCGCCTCCCCGCCCCGCGCGCTTGCGCCCCCCACCCTCCCCTCCCCTCCCCTCCCCGGATTACTTTTCTGATGATGGTTGGATCGATCGTGTTGGGTGCGATTTTGGTGCGCGCGGTTGGTCTTGGGCCGTCGCTTAGTTCGCGATGGATCGGGTTGGGGCGTGGGAAGCATCCGATCGTTTAGGTAGGGTAGTAGGTGGGTGGCCATGTTCAGGAACGTCTTTCGGGAAGTACTGCGAATTCAGGAACGATAACCGATAATTGGTATAGTTTGGGGTTGAAGTTGAGATGGCTCTGAGTATTTCTCATGTGAGGTATTATATGTCAAACCTTCATACATGTGTTTAGCTTAATTAGCTCCTCTGCTTATTCCAAAAAAACTGTACAGGTGTTTAGAACTTTAGATGGTTTCTTTCCTGCACATTTCTTGCAGGTTAACTGATACTAGTTCCTAAACGTTTTCATGACTGGCTGCAATCTCCGCCTTCTAGTATAGCGCTCTGCCTGTAAACATCCAGCTAAGATTGCTGTCCAGTGTCCAGGGTGGAAGTAAAAGCATGGTTCCTCATAGTTAGAAGCAATTTCTTCATTTCATTCAGTCACGAATGTACCAGCTCAGATTGCTACAGTGTGCAGATAAAATCATGTCTCTTCATAGTTAGAACAATCCCTTCATTCAGTCATGAATGTGATTTGCAGGTAATAACCCACCACCAAAGCCATGGGAACGTGTTGGCACTTCATCTGGTCCAGCGCCTTTCAAACCCCCATCTGGAGGCAGCACAAGTGACGTTGTTGAGGCCTCTGGGACAGCAAAACCTGGGGAAGTTGTTTCTGCTGCACAGAGCAATGCTGCTTTCAACGTGAACAATCCAGTTGCAGGGCCTGTGCCCCCGCGTCCCTGGCAGCAGCAAGGATACGGAAATACTTATGGGGGTAATCAATAATTTGTGCAGCGTTCCAGCAATTACATGCTCTTTGTGGCTTGAAATGATAACTTTTCAATCAAAATGCAGGTTATGGTGCCAGTACCTATAATTCATATGGTGGATTTGGTGGGGCTTATAGTAACGGCGGGCTATATGGAAATAATAACATGTATTCAGGGTATGGAGGTGGTTACGGCAGTTCGTACGGGGGCTCTGGAATGTATGGTGGGTCAATGTATAATAACGGGATGGGAAACCCATACGGTGGTATGGGCATGGCTCCTTACAATCAGGGTCCTAATTCATTTGGTCCTCCAGCACCACCCCCAGGTTTCTGGGTGTCCTTCCTACAAGTGGTAATGCCATTTCTACCAACTGAAAATTGAATTAGATATTGATTTGTGCAATTTATAATCCATACAGTTGAGCATGATTCAGCTTTGCACAATTGTGTCCTTCATATGGTGATTTCTGTGCTTAAACTTTTGTGGATCTAAGTTTGCTTGTTTAGCCTGTTTGTGCTGCCATGTTATGATTATCCTGATGAAGTTCATGCCTTCTTTATGTATAAAAATTAGTTGGCGGAACCGGTTTCAGGTTTGGCTAGAAATCTATGATCTAAATCTATGGCGCGGCTATTGTCCAACGCACAATTTGTTCCTTGCATCTTGTGCATTCAAAACATAATAATTAATCATTTTATATGCTTTAAATGGGGACAACATTCTATTTACTCTGGTTCTCGCTGATTGCAGATGCATGGGATTGTGAATTTCTCTGGACGAGTTGCTTTCCTTATCAGCCAGAATACTCAGGCATTCCACATGTTCATCACAGCTCTTTTGCAGGTATCCTTTGACGAGTGCCTTTCCATTTGGACTCTATTCAAGCATGCTTCTTAAGTTCTTCTGAATTCTGATCCAATGATATTATTGCCACAGCTATGTGATAAGTCTGGAATGCTTTATGGTGAGCTTGCGAGATTCACATTTCGATTGCTGGGGATCAAAACCAAACCAAATAAGGGCAGAATTCAGGGTGCACAAGCTCCATCATCGGATGGGCCAGGCCAGCAGTTCGTTGAGGCACCAAAAGCTAACAAGAACTCATGGGAGAATGTCTGGAACGGCGATGCTAAGGGAATGTGAGCTGCTATATGTGTGCAGTTACAGTGACAGGTTTTGTTAGACGAGGACGATGAGTTTGCTTATGGCTATGGGGAGAAAGGAAATCTGCTGATTTCTGTTCTGATGCATCTGCCATTTGAACCAGAGCGAGAAAACCAAGTAATCCCTATTGCTCGTTGTATTTACCGTGATATTTTTTCTTCCCTGTTATCTGTGTAGTGCTGTTACGAGGAGTTTGCTGCTGTGAGAAATGTGAGCTTGTAAAGTATGGCTTTCCTGATAATAGAGTAAATATTACCCAAAATGCCTTGTCCGGAGAAGTGGTCCACAATATTACTGTTTTCCGTCATATCCTTTTTAATGATAAAAAGATATATTTTTATTTTAGTACAGGAGTATACTGGCGCTCCTCGTGATAACGGCTTGGAATTATTATCTGCTCTCACAGTTGTTTTCGCCAACAGGCGGAGTGATCATGATTAATCAGCAATATCCCTTCCCTTTGGAACAGTTGCTGGGACAGATAAAAGTTCTTGGGCTCTTGCAGAGGGTAGTGCTGCTACTCGTAAGTGTTACTAGCTGCGTGGTGCGCGAAACTGGTCTGAAGTTGACATGCGCCCTGAGCTCTGAGGCTGAAGCGCGTTGTTTCTTATCCTCCTTGTTGCCTGACTGTCGTTTATGCAGAGCATGATTTGTACCATAGCTCTGAACTTTTGCCTTTTGAAAACTGTATGACACGAGAGACTTGTAAAGGCCATGTGATGTCCTGTGTCTCCGACCAAGACGGAGCAGATTTGCATGGCAACCTCTTGCGATGGCTGACGCAGGTCTTGTGGGTGTATCAGGTTCGTTCACCGAGTCCTTAAGTGAACATGGTCACTGGTCCCTGTATGTACCCCATTATCGCCAAACAGTCCCACTTGAGCAACCAAACCAAACGTGCCATATATCAAGATACAGTACCATAATTCTTTTCAAAAAAAAGATACAGTACCATAAAATTTTCAAAAACCGTAGATCGGCTGCCGAGTACGGGCGCCTAATATCTCTTCTGCTGTCCAGCAATCACCGGCGCGACAAGATCACCTGGACTCACCGATGATCAAGACAATTGGTTGCCACGGCCTTTAATTTCTTACAATTTTCCGAGAGAAGGTCAGGGAGGAGATAATCTGCTGCAACGGAAACACAAAAAATAAAGAAAATGAGCCTCTTTTATTGTGTTTCTCCGTTGGCTTGGCTGCTCATGATGATGTCAAGTGGATGAGGAAGCAGTGTAGGAGGAGCCACCCTTCATCCCAACCTCCAATAGCTCATCCGTAACCTCCACCCCTGCCTTTCCCCCTCAACTATCTCCACGTCTCCCTGCATCTTTGTCTCCATGCGCAGCTGAAGCCTCCCCCTATCTGCTATCCCCTGGCTACTATATATCACTTGCACTCCCCACCACTCCCTCCCGTTCGTGTTCCCTTCTCCCGCCTGCGTCCTCCTCTAAGGTAAAGCGCAATCCATTCCATTCCATCCATGTTCTTCCTTCACCCGCTTCATGCGTCGCAGTTTCTTCTCGAGCTCGGTCTGCCTGTGTTTCTGTTGAAAGAGTACGAGGATTGGGGAGTGCCTTTGTAGCTTTTCCTTTGTCTTCCGTCTCTTTGTTGGTTCGATCCTCTGTAGGAGCAGTGAGGATTTCGTGTTTGTTTCTTCTTGACTTTGCGTTTACCGATGTTCCAAAGTTCCATTGCTAGCTTCACCACGTTCCTTTATCATTTCTGCCAAAATGAATCGCGCGTCGGTTTGTTTCGCTGTTTTCTCCTAGGAAATTGTTCGTTGGTTTTGCTTTTCTGCTGAAAGAGCAGTATTTATATCTTTTATGCAGAAACAAAATGGGCATCTGCATGCACTCTGCAAGAAAGGTGTCCCTTTTTGTTTCTCCAGCCATGGAACCTGCCATCATACTATTTTTTTGGAGTAGCTCGGCTTGTTGCTTTAAAAGAAAGGGCGTCCATACTTTCATCTTCCCAAGTTTTTTGCATGTAAACGACGGCCGTTTTGGAGGAAGATCTAGCTCTACCGTCTAACACGCTCGCCCTGTTCTATTCTTGGTTGCAGAGTGGTGAGGGGTTCGTCGCTGCTAGCCAGGCAATCATGGCGGAGACGGTCACCAATGTATCGGAGTACCAGGCCATCGCGAAGCGGAAGCTTCCCAAGATGGCCTACGACTACTACGCGTCCGGGGCGGAGGACGAGTGGACCCTCAAGGAGAACAGGGAGGCATTCTCCAGGATCCTGTAAGCCAAATAATTTTAGTTTGTCTATTTAACCTGGTTTAACGCCTGTATTCCCTTCGTTCCTAAATATAAGTCTTTGTAGAGCTTTCATTATGGACTATATACGAAGCAAAATAAGTGAATATGCACTCTAAAATGCATCTATATATATCCGTATATGGTCTATAGTGAAGTCTCTACAAAGACTTATATTTAGGAATGAAGGGAGTATACTACACATGCATGTGTGGGTCGAGCGAGCTCTGGGCTTTTGAGTTCCAAACAAGATTATCTTAAACGTTTAGGGCACTGATGATGAAAATAGTGGTCATCGGATTTAACCTGATCATAAGTATTACCTCCATTCCAAATTAGTTGTTGTAAATTTATCTAGATACGGATGTACCTAACACTAAATCGTGTGTAGATATATATCCTTATCTAGATAAATTTAAGATAACTAATTCGGAACGAAGGGAATATTATACTGGCCTTGGAATTATAAATTGCTCTGGTATGTTTTATCGGACACTTTTTAGGAGCTATATAGATTTATTAAACTGTACAAACCATTCAATGCTTTCACAAATTATTGTAAAAATAGTTCAAAAATATGTGGAGAGAAAGAAACATTTATACTCAGTGTTGTGTTTGAGTCCATTATATTATCCTTTTTTGTGGGGGAGTCCATTTTATTATCCGAGTCTGTATATTATGCGAGCAACAGTTATAGTGTTAGTACTACCCTCCAAGCGGGTATCCTTCTGTATTAACTAAAGTAGAAGCATCATTTCCTTTTCCGATGAAATTGGAATTTGAAACAACAGTTTCATCGATTGAAAGCACTTTCGTTTGCGATGAAAAATGTAAACAACATTAATGGTTGAATTGTCCTCTTATGTGCGCAATAATACCTTCTTGGAATAGGTATAGGTATACTATACAACTTGACAATTTCATAGTTACACTTGTTGCTATTCCGTCCACAACCTAGCAAAAGTTATAGTTAATATATAGCATAATTTCGATGGAGCTTTTCAACAAAAGTTGCCAAAATTGTGCGAAACACATTCACACAAACTTTTCTAGTTATTAAATCTACATTGAACTATCATGGTCACCTCTAGCATTTAATACATAGAACACCTTCATCCTAACCCCAACTTGTCTCCCTCCCATCCAAACATCGCCGCACAATGGCACACTCTCCTCTTCCATCCTCTTCTACCTCTAGTGTTGCCCTTTTCCTCTTCTCCAACGATCTTTATGTTGCCACACTTCCTCCTCTTCTATGATGGTCCTTGAGGACACCTTCCAGTGATGTTTTGTGACCTCTTTGTTGAGTACCTATACAAGAAATAGGCGAAGGAAGGAAGAAAGAGGTTGGGGACTATTCTTCAAAGAAATTTACTTTGTGGGTGATATGAGAAGACATCTTTAGCCATCATGAGTCGCTTCGTTGAGTCAAAAAGTAGGTGGGATGACCATGTTTTATCAAAACCAACCAAAAGTAAAAATAGTAATTTCCAGTAATTTAACGTGCATTCCAAATCTAAACCTCAAAACTATTCCACAATGATGTCTATCCCAAATCCTTTGATGTCTGATTCAATGTTCCAGAACCTCGCTCGTGACTCTGCCTAACTCCACATCGTGAATGATTCAGGTTGATCTCAATTATTATCACAATTCCAACGTCCACTCTTGCCTATTCATTTAGTTCCGGCTTCACTACCTTCTTCTTTGAGTAATACAGTGACAACAACCATTTTTGAATATTATCGTCATGATTCCTTTTTCGGAAGGAATGGTTGTTTTCTTATGTAACACGACATGATGGGTTATCATTATCAATTTATTGGATAAAAAACATAATCAGGTGGTAGTACTTAAAGAAAAATAATTACACTACGCTAATATGCACCGTTGGCAGTGACGGGCAAAATATTTTACGTGCTATAGGATAGGTTAAAGATAATATCATTATCTATATATTTATATTGAACTATTTTACCCTGACATAACTCACATAGCCATTAATATATGTTGTTTTGTTAAGACATTATTTGATAAATTATATATAAAAACATTTTTTAGTATAACAAGTATCATGAACAATAAAAAAAAGATCATTTATATCGATGTGCAAATACAGTTTCAACATCCACCATTAGATATACATTTCTTGTACGACACTAAAACTATATTTTGTTACAAAATTTGTTTGTATTATTTAGTTTATAGTGTTTAAAATATATTTTGGTGTATTAATTTTTTACAATGTGTTTCGGCATTAAGCAAAGAGGAAACCAATAATTTCACATTATTCCACCAATTTATCGTATGTCCCTTGATGTATCATAATGTATTTATATATGTATCGTTAAATATCTATCAAACTTGGTAGAGTGTCTTTTGATTATACGGATTTAGCAGATAACTTGAGAAGTCTGAAGTTCAAGACTATGAAGATTAGGTGCAGTTAAACAGATGTTTCTAAAGTTTGTGAAGTGTCAAGTCATAGTATGTCATTTCCTTAAAATGATATTAGGATGTGCTCAATCTACCAAGAATCTCTCATTGTCTGTTGCCTTGACTCGTCAATTTTAGAGCAGAAAATTTACCTCTACCACCGGGTGCCAACTTGAACCCAAATCCCTCCGTTCCGCTCTCTCCCATGCGATAAGCGGCTATGTGTTTCACCTCTCCGCCGCCGCCTCCCATCAGGGGCGGAGATAGGAACCAGGCCCCTAGCATGGGCCCAAGGCATGAGGGCCAATCCCTTTGTTGACCGCAACGATCATCGTAGCTACAGTGACATGGAGGCCCTGGCTCCGCCATGCCTCCCATCCCCTCCTTCCATGTCACGGTCTCGCCCTCGACCATGTAATCTCTCGCCTACGCGTGTACCAAGCTCCTATGCCAGTAGATCGGCGATGTTGAACACATCAACCTACCTCGCTACATTTTATATTTTGCACGAAAGGGGTAGTATATTGATTAGCAAGAATCAAATCATGTTTGCAAGCACTGCTCGTAACATTAGTTGGTAAGATGTTTGGCGTTTCTTTTTATCAATGGCCCCTCAATCTAACGGAACTAATTCATGTGTGACCAGGTTTCGCCCTCGCATACTGATCGACGTGTCGACCATCGACATGACCACATCTGTGCTGGGAATAAAGATATCCATGCCCATCATGATTTCCCCCACCGCCTTTCAGAAGATGGCTCACCCAGAAGGTACTTGGTTACTCAACTCGAGCACTCTTTCCTCGTGTTTACTTTGCGATTAGCCGGTTTCCTTAGATTGGAACTATGCATCTAGCCCAAATAATAGTATTACCACATTCAACATGAAACATCAGCTTCATACACTAATACTACAGTGAACCATACTGATACACTGAGACAGAGTTAACTACCGTAGATACGTAGTGAACAATCGTCAAACCAGAGTTGACTCTGTGCAACACACCTGCGAAACCAGAGTATGTCTTGTGTTTCTCGAGCTAACTGAGACCCCTTGTGTGTTGATTAATTCAGGAGAGTACGCAACAGCACGGGCAGCGTCAGCAGCAGGAACTGTGATGGTATGCTCCTGTTAATCCAACCAATTCATGTCGTGTGCGTGTGTGTGTGTGTGTGATCCTGAGCTTGAAAACACTTTGCTCTCTATTTTTGTTACCAGACGCTGTCATCGTGGGCTACATCGAGCGTGGAGGAGGTGGCCTCGACTGGGCCGGGGATTCGCTTCTTCCAGCTCTACGTAAGCACCACATCCATCTCTGTTGGTGTCAGACAGATCGATGCATGGCATGGGTATCTGAAGCTAATCATCTTGGTTGGCTGCGATGCGCCATGGACGACGATGGGTGCTTGATTTGCAGGTGTACAAGGACAGGAAGGTGGTGGAGCAGCTGGTGAGGAGGGCGGAGAAGGCCGGGTTCAAGGCCATCGCGCTCACCGTGGACACCCCGCGCCTCGGCCGCCGCGAGGCCGACATCAAGAACAGGTTCGTGCTGCCGCCGGGCCTCACGCTCAAGAACTTCGAGGGCCTCAACCTCGGCACCATGGACCAGGTCAGTTCACCCGCCTTCCTTCATTCCTCCCTCCGTTCCTCGGCTTACCAAAATCGACGTTGCAAATTTTGCTTACCATCTCGATCGGTTGCAGGCCAATGACTCCGGGCTGGCGTCGTACGTCGCCGGCCAAATCGACCGCACCCTGAGCTGGAAGGACGTCAAGTGGCTGCAGAGCATCACCACCATGCCCATCCTCGTCAAGGGAGTCATCACCGCGGAAGACGGTAACCCATCTCGCCATCTCTTCTTCTTAGCTTTGAATTGAGAGCCACGGATGCAAAGATAGGCTGACATCGTCGATTTCCGTGGACACCCGCGCGCGCGCAGCTCGGCTGGCCGTCCACTCCGGCGCGGCGGGCATCATCGTGTCCAACCACGGCGCCCGCCAGCTCGACTACGTGCCGGCCACCATCAGCGCCCTCGAGGAGGTCGTCACGGCCGCCCAGGGACGCATCCCGGTGTACCTCGACGGAGGCGTCCGCCGCGGCACCGACGTCTTCAAGGCGCTCGCCCTCGGCGCCTCCGGTGTCTTCGTAAGCCACCGATCGACCCTTCACCAGTCACTGTACATACCGCGTACGTATGTTTAGCACTGAATTCTCACCCTGTAAATTCTTGTTTGCAGATCGGGCGGCCGGTGGTGTTCGCGCTGGCGGCGGAGGGCGAGGCCGGCGTGCGGAACGTGCTGCGCATGATGCGGGAGGAGTTCGAGCTCACCATGGCGCTCGGCGGGTGCACCAAGCTCAGCGACATCACCCGCAACCACATCTTCACCGAGGGCGACCGCCTCGGGCGCCCCCTGCCGAGGATGTAAGCAAGAGCCAGCGGCATACGAACGCGCCCATCGCCGATCATCGCCGTCTCGACGCACGGCCGGGCATGCTAGCCAAGTATCCACTGCAACGCACGCAATAATTACCGCGAACTCTATACCTACGACATCGTCAGCGCCAAGATGCTAGCCGTGTGTGTCCGGCCGGGGACGGTGAGCCGTAGTAGATAAATTTTGCGTACTGTCCACCGGCACGTCTCGCCATTTGACCATATTTTACACCGACTACACAACCATATTGTATTCCAAATCCTATTGGGTCCGCACATATACACTCATCGATTCTGTATTTATCATACATTGTCATCGAGTAAAGCTTATATGGATACGGGTGTGAACTGGAAAGGGCACGTCGAGCCAATGTGCACGCTAGGCGCCGGTCGGCAGACGAACTTTCGGCCGGCCACGTTCCCACCGCGTGATCTGCTCTGCCCGCCATGGCCGCACACATCCTCGTCGCCGTTCGTGCCACCGTGACAGAATTCCTGTTTTTTGAATCGAAGAACACGAGTCTCATCATCCATAGTATCAACGGGAGAGTATTGAAAACATGCAATAGGACATAGTCCTTCTCGAGGACGATCCTCACATTACATTATCAACCGTAAAGTTTTTTATTTTTGCGGTTGATCAATCGTAAAGTCTTATTGAGGTAATTTTAAACATCTAATCAATTTGAAGAAGAAAAGTGGAATGCAAGATATTATAATTGAAATTACACTTATACAATGTTCATAACTAATTGCACTTAGTAATTGAACAATTTTAACTTTAAAGTGCGCTCACACTCAAATCAACATCTCTCATAATTGATATTAAGCGATTCAAGATTCATGTCTTAGTTGTTCATCATTGATGTGTACATTATTGATGACAAATAATTCCACGGTGGGCAAACTTGTCAATCACATCTCTATGTGACTCTTGTTCATCTTTCGATGGACGTGTTTTGAGCTCAGGACGATCCTGCCATGAACGTAAGACAACCAAGTGATCTTGCTGTAAGGTCTGACCTCTTATACACACATCTACCATTGTTATTATGGGATTTTTTCTTCTAGCTCGACTTCTTCCTCTTTTCATATCGTTACTTTTCAAAATGAGTTTTATTTCTTTAGTAGGTACCCTCCTCGTATGGTAGCCTTTTTCGTTGGTGAAGTCTACATCGTCCTCACGCGCATTTTTGCAAAAATTTGCCATGGCAGCCTTTTTGTCCGACGTGGCAGCAGAAAAACGCTGCCATAGCAGCGGTCCTAAAACAGATTTCAGCCTAAACTGCCGCCGTGGCAAAAACGCTGTCGTGGCAGCAGTTTCAAAAATTGCTGCCGTGGCAGCAGAATTCTTAGTCATGGCAACATGTTTTTGTTATTGTGGCAGAACTTTTCTGCCTAAGCTCTTTTCTTCACCGTTCTTCATCGGAGCGCTTCTTCTTCGTGTACAACTTTTGCGTTGGCTTCAATGTTTTGATGGTCATATATGAGTATATCTACCTAGTGGACTGCATAAATGCATATGTGTGATCTATTTTAGTGACACTCCTCCACCTAGTCCTTTCTAATCTGCACAACAATACCTCGATTCAAAATAAGCTCTACACTAAAAAGTGCTCAACGCTTCAAGTGATCTGTTTGTAGTTTCTTTGGCTGTAAATGTTGAACTTCGTGTTCATGTTTAGAGCTATTTGGATGAATTTTGTCAAACTAGTTGCACATGGTTGACCATTTGAAATTTCTTTTGACCAATCACTTTATCTCGCTATTTCACACGATTTTTGTGTTGTACACTTTCTTTTTTGAGTATCGTAGACGAGTATATATGTATCTCCTTATTGTATTGTACTAAGGTGTTCATGTAATTCAGATCGTCAACCTTGCCGTATGGGCACCATGTCGTGCCCGGCGCCACCGAAGGCGTCGTTCCTCTCAGCCTCCTCGCCCGTGGCCAACTACACTTAAGCCACCATCGTGTCCAAATTGCACTTCTCCTCCCCGCCCTCTGCCTCGGCACCCTCTTCACGCACTTCTCCTGCGCCGACAACGCTAGCAACTGGTTTGCTGCACCGCCTACGGGGGTGCTCGCATGTGACTGTGCCGATCGCGTCGGACGCGGTGTCGCAACCATCATCCATCCCAGTCGTCGATGCACTCTACTGTAATGTTGTATCTCATGTGTAGTTCACTACTTTAGTGATCTAAACATTCTTATATTTCTTTACGGAGGGAGTACATGCAGAACATGAGTTTTACCTGTATTTACTCAGCCAGGCTCACGGATGGAATAAAGCAAAAAAAAATGATGCAGTCTACCAAACACACCCTTAACGGTGTTTAGCATTCGTGGCCGGCACAGTCATGCGGGGCTCATAATGTGTGCTCTACAATCCCTCAAAAAAGTGGTCTCTACAAATTTTTTTATAAAACCCCTAAAAAACAAAAACAAAAACGCTTATGAAAAAGGAAAATGCAGCTTGCTGGATGCCGGTTGTTTCGCTGTATAATAAATGGCATAAAGTGCAGGGTCGTATAAGCAGCCATCGAGAGAGAGGCGTCTTGAGTCAACAGGGCTGCGACGCCTTGTCCTTCGCCCTAGCCGCCGGCTCTCCCGCTCCGCACGGTCTAGCCATCGACGATCGTCGAGGAGCTCGAGCACACCTCCTTTTGATCGGAAGCCATGGTGGTGTCGCCTACTGCAGCGGAGGCGCCCGACGTCGATCTCGCGCAGGCGTCGAAGAAGGCGCTCGCCAGCCCTGCGGGTGCTAGGGCTGGGACCATATGGAAGGGGATGATGATCCGCGCGAACCGCAGCGTCGCCGACAACGACCCGTTACGCTGCTTGGTAAGCTCCGTGATCTCTCCCTCCCGATCCGTTCCCCTAATTAACACCCTCCTCCTTCCAGTTATATATACTGCATGTACGTTGCTGATCAAATCTACTATTCCCTCCGTCTCATAATATAAGAGTGTTTTTTACACTAGTGTAGTGACAAAAACGTTTTTATATTATGAGACGGAGGGAATAGCATTCTAGTGCTTTATTCCTGCCGACTGTACTGTTCTATCAAATTCTGGGGTCTTCTTTTCTTTGGCAGGGTTGCTTTGAAGGGTTTTTATTTATTTATTTATGAAATGGGTGCTTTGAAGTGGTGGGTGACTGGGTGTCCGATCTCATGTATTGATTGGGTGTGCATTTTTAGTTTTTAGAACCAGGGTGCCATATTTGAACCCTTCTTTGAGGAAGTTTTAAATTTGTAAGTTTGGTTCAAGGTTTTTTGTGTGTGAATAGTTTGATTCAAGGTTTTATCTCCTACATTACGTTTTATGACACTATTTATCCATTTTTGAATAAGCTTCCACATTTTGTGATCTTGTCATGGCCTATTTTTTTTCCAAAATGACATCAACGTGCCATGATGACATGACAGCGGATTAGACGGGCAACTCGGGCCGCTATTCACTAGGGATGTATTTCATGCGGTGTGGGAGCAATGTGGTGACTGGTGCAGCTAGTCAAACATGTTTGGTATAATTGACAAAATTTCATAGACTTTGACTAAAATTTGATGAAACCTCACATAATGAAGTATGCTCTGGACGAGTACACATCCGAGTTGTTTGTCTAATCATCTGCCACGTCGTCCTAACAAATGAATCTAACTTCTCGGTTAGGAGACAAATGATAAAATTGGGTAAAAGCTATCACAATGTGACAAGTAAGCGGTAAAATATCGAATTTGCCTCTTAAATCTGTAGGATTAGAAACACTCTTTTCACATGTTATCTCTTGGGCGGTCGGTTGCTATGTCTCATGTTGGCTCACGTTTTTCCCTGTTGTTTCGCTCGTTGTTCAGTTTGTATCTCTTGTGTTGGCAGCAGCGTCATTGGACAAAGCACAATACATTAAGATCATGATTTTGCGTTCACAACAGATGGGGCTTTTTTCTGAATATAAGTTCTCCATTGTTAGTTAATGCTGTCAGTTTGCAGCGGATTATTGCCTTATTTGCATGATCTGTTTGAATAACATGTATTATTTGACACTTATTGTCTACTCAGATATATCTGCACATCGCTTTTAAAGCCTGGGACAGTGATCCTATATGTGCAAGAGTCCCTCAACTTCTGTAATGTGAAGGTAATATCTACTTAGCGAGCCAGCATGAGTTTGGTGCTGAAGTATATGTGGATTACCCAGTCTTTTCCTGATCCCACATATACTTCAACACCCCTCTCATGTGTGACTCAATAAGGGCTCAATAAGGCTTAAACATGGACAGAAAGAGGGTGATCTTTATTTAAATTGCACAGCCGACACTTGAACCCAAGATCTCTTGGGTTTGATACCATGTTAAGTTTCATGCACCAATCATTAAAATAAAAAATCCAAAGATAATAAGAAAGTTGGGTGGCCCACATATATTCATCAACACTTTAAAAACTTGATATGCACCCTGGAACATACGTTATTGTTTACTAAGAATTGACCATTATCTTTTGTTGCCTAATATTTCCAGATAATGGAAGAAGTACAAAGAGTTCGTGCTGAAAGAATCAACCATCAAGATCAAATCAAAAGGTACAAGATAATTTGGATTACACCTATTCTCCTGAGCCAGCTCATGTACTCCATCCGTTTGTTTTACTCACCATATTAGATTTTATAAAATTTGACCAAACATATATTTAATAGTCTGAACATCTACAATACCTAATAAGTATATGAAAGTACATTCCATGATGAATCTAATGATATTTGTTTGTTATTGTAAATATTCATATATTTTTGTATAAACTGGAACAAACTTCGAAAAATTTGCATTGACTTGAAGACAAATCTAATATGCGAACTAAAAAGAAAAGAAGGAGGTACTAATCATTCCTCACGGTTGTTCTCTATTTTTATATGCGTTATATATACTTGGAAATAAATTAATAGTCTCGTTGGAATTTTATAAAGATGTACTAGCTTATGGTTTTGGGGTTATG